GAATTCGTCACGCGAAAAAACGCGTTTGGATTGTCCACGAATAAATGTCCAGACACACCGGACGCGATTCGAAAGTTAATAAAACAGCCAATGACAGCAAATTTTGGAAGATACGTACATCAAATAACTCAAAATGTTATACCGCTTCTAAATATTTGGAAAATTTAAACTAGAATCAAAGTTATCGGTCAGTGAAAATCGAAAAATCGCGTCGCCCGTTGTCAAATCTCGTCCGGTGTGTCCGGACCAGTTACTATGGGTGTTTACTACGATGGATTTGTTTATAATAAATGTTCAACTAATAAATAAGCGGTATTGTCCTACAATTAGAATTGTAAATATTTTAATCTAGCCCGCGTGCAGGCCCAAGGGAAGAATAGTGGGCCTGCAAGCAAGATCCGGTATTTTGTAAAACGCCCCTTTTCTTAACACGCCCCATTCGCGCGTCAATTTTCAAAAAAGAACCAATGACAGCAACCCAAATATTAAGAAAGAAACTCGCATTAAAAAGTTGCGGGGTTTTCTCTGCTTATTCCCATTATATTATAAACTATGTTCAGAACAGAAACAATGTGTAAAGTGCTGCGTTTTCACTCCAAAAAAGCAAGCCACGCAGTCAGTAATTGCCAAATTAAATTTCCAAGGGCTCATTTTTAATTAATTAAAATCGGAACAGGCAAATTAGGACGAATTTTAACAGAAAACCAGCCTCAAACTTCAAATCGTGAGGGAAGTCGTGCGAGTGCTTCGCTGTCGCCATTGTTATAAATAAATTGTCTCACTTATCAGATCATGTGTGCATTTCTTGTTGGCGGCGGAAAGTACGAAATTTATTTCAGTTATTTCACTTGGTAAAGAACTCTACAAAAGAAGAGAGCGTTCAGAGCGTCCAGATCGTTTTGTTTCAAACGGAAATTACCGTATTCTGTTTTGCTCTCTCAGCGAAGCCTTGCAAATCGCAGTGTTTCGAATGGGCTTACATGCAACTGCCTCTAAATCTTCACCGCGAAAAGCGCCGTTTTCTTCAGTGCAAGAACAGAGTCAACATCAACCAAAAGGTAATTTTCATGAGGAACATATAACGTACCAAGTCTGTTCGAAATTAATGAAACTCAAGTAAAGGTTACTATAGTTTACCCCAGTTGTAATGATGCTATTCCAACACTTCACGACAAGCAATCCCCGTTGGCATAACGGCAAAAAAATCTTCCTTCAAGTAAACGATAAACAGTCTGTTTTTGTTCCATTTTTAATCGAAAAAGTGATCAGATCCAATTTTTATAAGCGTATCGAGAGCCTGATCTAATTATATCACTGATCTAATTATAGAATCCAACAGCAAACAGCCAATCAGAATGCTGCGTTCGTGGACGAACGCGGGAAAGTACAAAATACCAGGTCCACTATTCTTCCCTTGGGCCTGCACGCGGGCTAATTTTAATCTGGAATAACCGATTTAGCCCAAATTACTGGTATATCAATGACCTGTTTATGCACGCATATATTAATTTCTGATTATGTTCTATACTAGCTGGTGCTTGGAGGCCATTCACTTTTAAAGCTGTCGTTTGACTACTGGGTAGACTGCATGGGCAGGGTGGGGCAACGATTTATTGCTATTCGTAGATTCATGTACGCGTAGCGTACCTTTTTTATTTCCGATCGAAGATTTAAAACATTTTGGCAACATTTTATAAAAAAATTGCTTAATTTTTAAATTATTATTTTTGGAATAAAATACGCTAATTTGGGGTATTTTTTTAATAATTACGCTTTTTTGTCCAAAACGCAAAGCCATGCATATACGCCAGACACATGATTATGTATTGGCTTGGTGGGTAATTTTCAAATTACTATGCAAAACATGTCATACATCCCAGCATGAATTTCGATTAGTTTCTTCGTCTAAGTTTAAAGCAGTCTGATCAGTTGGTGTCTTTTAAAAGTCAGTCTGCTAAATAGGGGAACTGGTGCTGACCAGATACTTCTTCTAATAATCATCGCATACATGTCACGACATATTACTGCATGCATTTTCTCAAAGTCAATAAAAGAACCTGCCTGATATGGACAGGGCATGGTTTTGCGAAAATTAATATAGTCCAAAATGCTCATATTCAAAAGCATTCAAATGGCAGTTACTAGAATACATGACAACAACTCACTAACTAATGATCGAAACGATCAACTCATTAAAATTAAAATTAAAACACTAAACCAGGAACAATTGTCATAAGAACCAGTTATAAGAGGCAACTCGACCAAGTACCTATTACATAAGAAGCACTTTACCCCGACAAAAAAATATAATAGTGGTTCTTTTATATGCGGGCTTCACTGTATACAGAGCTCATAAGATGTGGCGCACATTTGACAATTGGCTCAATAGACCGATTTACGGGATCTCAATTTCCTTTAATTTGACCCATAACAATAGCAAGTATAGTTGAAAAAGAGCGGCTTAAAAATATTTAGCTTTCCCTGCTTGTTACAAATAACTTTCTTGTTTTTCGTGGTTGAAGTTATACTATTATTAATACAATATGAACGGCTCCAAAAATTCAGTAAACTGAGAATTTTAATGTTTCAATAATTCTTATTTCATTTATCGTATCACCTTAGCCTTTTCGATCATTCCAGAAATTATATATGTGAATGCAGGATTAATTAAAAAAATCAGTTATTTTACACTAAAAGATTGTTCATTGGGTAAGAGCCTCGTTACCCTGCGAGCAAAGTCCTCTCGTATTTAATCTTTAATCTTTAATCTTTAGTTAAAATTATTTACACACGGTAGCCTATTCAGTGGATAATTATTTACTAATCTGGTTTTCAAAGGGCCGTGTATCTATCAATATGCTAAGCTATTAAACACAAAATATACATAAACAAATAAATAGACTATTTACAAAGTTAGTGTCAGTATCAGCATCGATTTTATACCTAATTATATAATCGCCGTTTAAACGATAAGATTGATATAGTTCATTGTAATTTTCGATGGTTTCATTTGAAAATTCGTTCCACGATTTCGCAGCTATATATGAGAAGCTCCTTTTGAAGAAATTTGTCTTAGGTTTGTGAAGCGCCAATTTAGCTTGATTACTTCTTAGATTGTAATTGTTGTTTTGGCATCTTGTAAACAGTTTTACAAGATATTGATGTAATCGACCAGTTAATGCTTTGAATGTCATTATTACTTCTCGTTTTTTTTAAAAGTTCCTCAATTGGAAGCCAATTAAGATTATTTAGCATTTGTGTGGAACGAACATCGTACGTGTCCCCAGTTATCACACGCGCAGCTCTCTTTTGTAATTTAAATAATTTATCAATTATCAAGCAAGACCCATCGTTCCAGATTGTTGAACAGTAATTGAAGTGTGGCCACATCAAGGCATTGTACATTTCTATTAAAGTTTCCCTGGGAACAAACGATCTTGCCCTTTTCAAAAGGGCGATCTTATTTGAAATTACTTTGCATTGTACATCAGTATGCTTGTCCCATTGGGCTTCAATTGCTCATCTAGGATCACCGATTATGCCAAGTAACTTTTCTTTTTTTTTTGACGATCTCTTGATCCTATTATCATGAACTCAGTTTTTTTTCCATGTTTAAGGAGAGTTTATTAGCTGTTAGCCACCTGTGAACATTTTCAATGTTTTTCTTAAGTTTGGTCTCAATTTCGTGACGACTTAATCCTTTGCAGGAAAGGTTTGTTTCATTAGCAAATAAGTTTGCTTTAGTTGACTCTAAGCAATTGGGAAGATCACAAGTTGATGTACAATAGAAATAGAATAGGACCAAGGTTACAGCCCTGTGGTACCCCACATCCTATTTCTCTAGCAGATGACAACTTGCCATTCACAGAGCAGATTTGGTTTCTACCTCTAAGGTATGAATCGAACCATTTAAGAGTACTCCCTCTAATACAGTATAATTTAAGCTTCAATAAAAGGATGTGGTGATCAACAGTATCAAAAGCTTTTTTAAGGTCCATTTCTTCTCGGCACGGCACGGAGAAGCGAGAGAAGCTCAGAAGTTGTGTATAAATTCATTTGAGCATGCGCGAAGGTTGCTAAGCAACTGCCTATTTCCCAGAAGACGATTTAATAAGAAGTTTCCCGTTCGGATCAATACCAGTTATAAAACTAGTATCAAACCTGAAATTACGCATAATTATCCAAGCTTTTGGATTGTCGTCTCCACAAAGAATATATACAAGATCTGCAGAGTCTCTCTCGCTTCTCCGTGCCGTGCTGAGAAGAAATACGAGAGGACCTTGCTCGTAGGGTAGAGCCTCGTTAAACTATGAAAAAACTAAAAAAGTACTTTTACAACTTTTCATTACCTCATGGCATTCTTGAGAAATTTTTGTTTGTTTGATATGCCAATGAAACAAATCCATGACGTCACAAGCTGGTAAGATATTTGCAAGGATGGCAGTCACGTCAAAGTCTTAAAGTTCAATATTAAATTTTAAGGAGCATGGTGGACTGAGCATGACATCATCTGATTAACATATCAAACAAACTGAAATATCGGCTATGATAACCAAAGAAAGATATAAAAATTTAATGCTTTATTCTACATTTTAGAGAGTTCTTTCAATCTAAACGTAATAATGCTAAAGTAATACCTTTTATACGAACCTTGAAGTGAAATACGTCGTTTGTTTTGGTTCAGCTATCTCCATGACAGTTACATGCACCAGGGCCTCTTTTAATACCATAGACTGGGGCGCCCTGTTTTAGCTCTTCCAGTGAACCATGTTGTCCACTCCCCTTCCCCCAGTGAAGATCTCTTCGGTTTATAAGCAAAAAAAACAAAACCGGAAGGAACTAAGAAGAGTATTTTAGTATTCCCATGACCAAATCTTTGTCTAGCGGATAAAATATATAAAAACGTGTGCCTAAAATGCCCAAAATCAAGCCCCAGATACCTTATACAAATTTATCTGGGTCAGACAAGTTTCCACTTTTCCCGTTCAGACGCTGGCATTCACGGAACAGATCTTACAATTTCTACATTGACTTAACCGTTGTGTTCCATTAATTTAGGTTTAACACATCATGGAAATCCATTTATGTTTAGAATCAGCGTCCGGCCCTATTAATTTTGTAATACAAGTTATTAATTAAAACAACGGGGCAAAAAATCTATGCTTCACTAGAGAAGGAAAATGTGGCGTGGAAGCATCAATTACAAGAAAAGAATGAGTTGATAAAATAAATAAAAAAGGAACGTAAAAGGCTTGAAATGGAAACAAGAAAACTTCTCGAAGAAAATATATCGCTAGAAAACAAACTGCAGAGTTGGAAGATATAAATGGAAATTTGCAAAAAGAATACGAGGACACGCTACTTGACTTTGGATGACTTTCCGTGGAGAGTGATTCCAAAACGAACTTAGGGGGAAAAAGAGAGACATTTCACACTATCTTCATTTCAAACTATTTTTTTCAAACTAATGTTCATTTCAAACTATTTTTTCCAAAGCTACTGGCATCGTTAGTTGTTAACATGGGAGGTAATAGTTCGTCTTATTTTAGTCCCAGGTCAACCATAAATTCTGACGTTCAGCCGAACAGCGTTCAGTCCGAGTATGAAAAGAAATGATTGCCTGCTTTGTCTTTGCCGTCTCCATCAGGGGAGCAATCTGTAGGTGTAAGAGGAAAATTGGTGGAGTCAAATGCATGTCAAGTGATCACCAAAGCAACGAATTTGAAGCTCAAATGCCTCAAAATCAGAGCCAAGGCAGGCATATATTTAAAGCGTTGATTTTTCAGTTGATTCAACGCGGTTCCCTAACGAAGTAGAAGAATTAAAGAAGTAATGCAAAGCCGTTAAGTTTCATAAATGAACCTTCTTCTTCAGTTAGTTCCCATGTTTACAACGTTTACAAATTATTGTACGTTTGTAAAGGTTGTAGACATGGGAACTAACCGAATTAATTCTGAAACTGGAGTTGTTCTAACACTCAAAACACTTCAGGATCTTCGGTAAAGCCCAAAGCCCGTGAACCAGAATATAACCAATGTTCAAGAATAACTAGCTGACAAGAATAATGGCATACCCATTAGCAGGAATCGGCAGACAAACTATTCTAATATTCCATTGTTTAAAAATCTTTATATTAGTTTCTGATATAATGTGCTATTCCCGAAATCTGTTCTACCGTCCAAAATACAGATTAATTTTTATATCTACAGTATTTTGGTAAAATAACAAATAAGTGCAGATCTTTGCACTCATTTGTAATTGTAGCGAAATTATTTTGCTCCTCACCTTTAAATTATACTACCACCTGTTAAACGATCTTTCCTCCACTTCCAAATTAATTAAAAGGAATAGAGAATATATGTAGTACATGTAGTACAGGGCCTTGTTTAAGAATTCATTTACGTCTACGCACGCGCGAGAAATGCAAGCGTGGAGTGCACATGAGCGCGGGTTAATCGCTTGACTGAATTATAAAAACAAATTAACACCAAATCAGTTTGCCAAAACTACTCGTGTTATGAAGTCGTTTACTTGTTTCTTTAGTATTTCTACGCTCACAATTTTAGGCATTTCCGACTTAGAAGTGTTTGCTTTGGAATAAGAACGTGAGAGTATAAATAAAAACTTTGTTACAGCAGTTTAATTTCGCCATACAAATATACCTGTTTTATATATATATGTGTATATATATATATATATATATATATATATATATATATATATATATATATATATATATATATATATATATATTTCTATATATCTATATATCTATATATCTATATATCTATATATCTATATCTATATATCTATATATCTATATATCTATATATCTATATATCTATATATCTATATATCTA